AGGAGATTGGCCGTGAAGCTCGGTGTGTCTGCCTGCCTCAGCGGCTGTGGATACCCGGGGCTTTGTTGTGGTTTCGTTTCTATGTCTGAAGTGTGTCATAATAACTATTTTTTCTCAATTTATGAGTGAGCAAAAATCTTTGAAAACCTCACTTAGAGGACAGGGGTCTTTAATAACGGCAGGACTGACCTGCCTGAGAACATTGTTTTCTTGTTGAAGGACACAAGGTTGAGAATAAATATTTAAAACTGGCCGGCCATTTCTCCTCTGTCTGTTACAGTAGCCTGGCCAGTGTAGTCATTTTATCAGGTGACCGACATGTAATTAGATTTAGAAACAGGAATCTCCCAATGTAAACTTTTTCTTCATCTAAAAAAAGTGTTCTTTGAAAAAAAAAAATATATATAATTCTTTCTGTCCTAACGGCGTCTCTGCTATTAACTGTGATGTATTTCCCCTTAGTCCTTTCTTTAAACAGTGTGGAGGCTGGCGTCAGGCCTGTGGCCAGAGCCGGGAGTACAGGTATTTGAACTGTGAGGGCTGTCTGTTACTGTAAACCCCATTTTGTTTTGTAGGGGAGATTTCCTATCTGCTCAGAAGCTCAGTCTATCAAGGAGAATAGCCCATTTGCAAAGGGTTTCAGATCTAGTTAGTGAAGGTCTCCGTGTGTGTAACGGTTATTTTCCATTTTCACACAGCTTTGAAACTTCCTTTTGGCAAAACCACAGTGATGCACTTGGTGGCCCGAGAGACGCTGCCTGAGCCAAACTCCCAAGGTAAGCTGGGCCCTGGCGACGCGTCTGTCTGGAGCCACAGAGGCAGCCATTCGAGAGGGTCTTGGTGGTCCTTGGGCGTTCCGAGGGAAAGGAAGTGTTTATAGTTTATGAATACAACTTGGCCAGCAAATAACCAGACATTTTGGAAACCGGCTAAAATTATAGGAACATTTATGACAGCTTTTTAATTTAAAAAAAGCCAATGTAAGCGTTAAGAAAACACAAAACCCTTTCTTGCTGGACTCGGTTCTCCCTGTCACACTGACAGAAGGCTGTTCTCTGCTGTCCGCAGGTCAGAGGAATCGGGAGAAGACGGGCGAGAGTAACTGCTGCGTGATCCTGTAGGTGCAGTGGTGCGTCTGCCGAGGGCGCCTCGCAGAGCCTTCGTCTTGTGTGTTGCCGGGACAGGAGAGACCCACCGTTGCTTCCAAAACCCTTAGAACAGCCTGCCCGCCGCCCGCGGCCCTGACCCGGCACTGACGCTGACACTGTCCTCTTTCCTCATGAAGGCCGAAGGAACCAAGAATACGTTTCACTATGATTTTCTTACTTCTCGCGTCTTTGTTTCTGTTGAGCAGTTTTACGGTGACACTGGTTTTTGAACGCGGTCAGCCGCCAGGGGCAAAGCCGGCATCTCTTCCTCAGCCGAATCCGTTTGGCTGCCCCGGAAATGCTCATCCCCACAACTGGCCAATCAAGTGTTCCAAACACGATTTGCACTAAATTAATAATAATAATAAAAAAAAGGTTGCCATGGTTTGCCTCGTCGACAGAATCACAACCCGGTTTCTGGCACTAGAAGGATTCAGAGCTACGGTTCACACTCCTGGAGTCGATGGCTGGGCCGACTTGATGGGGAACAAACAGAGACGTTGGGTGGCCCCTGCCACCGTCAGCCCCGGGGCCTGCCCAGGCACAGAGTCCTAACCTGCGTGTGACTGTTGTCCCTCCCGCCCGGGGACGCAACGCAGAAAGTCAAAACGTGCCTGCTGTCTAAAGCACTCAGGAGCGGGCCGACGACACCGCGGGCTGCCCGGGCCACGCGCGCTCTCGCGTCACACGGTGGCCGAGCGCCTACCCGCGCAGCACAAAGAGGGACGAGAGTGCGCTTCTAGCCTTAAATACGGGAGGCTTTCGGGACTGTGCAGAGATCCCAGACACACCTCACTTGTGGTCGACGTGTGTGTGTGTGTGCGCGCGCGGATCCGCAGACGTGTGTTCCACACCCACTGCTCGCCTGTACCCGCGTCCAGCCTCATACTTACTCATTAGCGTTCGAATGAATTCTTAAAAATTTTACAAAAGGAAAAGAAAATATACATAGGACTAATTTTGTTCCTTTCTGTCGTCTGCATTTGGTTGTAGTGCTTATAACTGTATTCCAATCAAAAGCTGATCTTTTTTTTAAGGCCAATACGATTTAGGATGCTATTTTTTCTGTTGTTTTGTACCGGTAATTTAAAAACGGAGACGCTACAAACAGTTTGCACAGCACTAAGGCGTGAGCTCCTTTCATCTAAAAACCTGTACAAATATCAAAGATTTTTATATTTTTTTCCCCCCTGGGGGGTAATCTTTCCGGGATGAAATTACAAATATGTGTAGAATATATTTAATAAAAAAAAAATTTATAAAATACCTAACTATAGACCTTAAAGATAGATTGGTGTGTAACTTACAGGACAATATTCCATAACGACGATTTTAGCCTTCTAATGATGCGGCAACAGGCTGACGTTACGTTCTGAACCGAGGAAGTGGTCATGGCCCTTACCAGCGTGACGTGCACAAGGTTTCCAGTGGTCATCTTTGTTTAAACGTAATCAGGTTATTTTACTCACTGTTAATGCTTTGATGAGTATGCTTTATATGCAGTAGATCTCTGAAAACATTGTTCATACTGATCAGAATTAAATTTGTATAGAGCAAAGTTTTAAATCAAATGTAAATAGCACTAAACAGTTTCTTTCGGCAACCTGTACTTACAGATCCTTTCTGTAAACTAAATAAAAAAAAATACAGTGAGCGCGCCCAGCTGGTCGTTCCGTGGGTCTTGATGAGGGGGGTCTCCGTTTCGGCAGGCTGTCGGCCACGTTCAAGGTGGTGTTCCGCTGGGATTTTGGAATCCGTTCCTCATTTCCTTGACTGCTGCCCTGTTGGTGGCAGGAGTGTGCTCAATGTCCCCTACATGCCTGGGCTGCTTTACCTCTGCACAGTCACAGCAGTGGGTGGAATCCTGGGGTCTCGGGGTCACCGACAGGTGACAGGACGTGTCCGATAGCACACGCTGTGCCGACCGGGGCTCCTTGGGGATTCTTGGACTATCGACTGAAGAGTCCGGTTGTTACTTGGTGAGGCTGTTAAGCCATTTATGGCTCCATTCTTGTAAAACCAGGTACTGGCAATTTTTTTTTTTTTTTTTAATTGTGATTTGGGTGAAAGTTTACAGAGCAAATTCATTTTCTGTACAGCAGTTCATACACATTTTGTCTCATGACATTGACTGCAATTCCCCACATTGTAAGAGCTCTCTTTCCACTTTCACCCATAGTTACCTCTTCCCTGTGTCCTTTCCTCCCATGCACTCTGCCCCCACCCCATCTCAGCTGTCTCTGTTTGCAAACACTGCTCTTCTTTTCTCCCCTGATTGATTGCTCTAAGGAGTAAACATTCACCCCATATGCCTGTCTAAGGTTTGGCTGGAAGCCACAGGAGTGGGTTCAATGCCAGACCTGGAGGGTAACTAGGGGCCATAGTCTCAGGGGTCTCACTAGTCTCTATCGGACCAACACACCTGGTCTTTTTTTTTTTTTTCACAATTTTGAGTTTTGTTCCACATTGTTCTCCTTCTCTATCCAGGGTCTCCTACCCAGATCCCCCTCCGAATGGTTGACGGTGGTAGCCGGCACCATCTAGTTCTTCTGGTCTCATAGTCATATAGGCTGAGGATCACCTGGTATTACCAGTCCCTTGGACTAATTGTTTCCATGTATCTTTGGTTTTCTTCATTCTTTGCTCTGGACGAGGAGAGACCTATCGTTGCATCTAGATGGCTGCTGGCAAGCTTTTAAGATCGCAGTCCCTACTCACCAAAGTAGGATGTAGAACAATGGTTTTGTGTAGTATGTTACACCAGTTGAGCTTGATGTCCCCTGTAACTGTGGTCCTGAGCCCATAGGTCCAACTACTCACTCCCTCCGGGTAGCTGGCTGTGGCCAATAAGCCACCACAACCTTGCCCTTTGTCAACTCTACTATACACCTGGACATTCTTACAGCACATACAAATATGCATAGAAACATTGCCAACCCTATCCATGGTCCTGGGCACACTCCCACTGCCCAGACATACCTGATCACTCAGGCTGGGCATCCGTCTATCCACCTGTAGATGAATGTTTGCCTTGACTGACAACGCACTACTATATGTGCAGAAGGCTTCATCTCTGTTGTCTGCACCTCCCACGTACCTCTCTCTGTCTTCCTCAGTGCCACCGTGTTGATCACTCCCATTTGTTTCAGTGCCCTTCCCTTTGCCCGAATCAGTACTGGTCTCTACCTGTCCAGCAGTGTTCCCTCCCCTCCCCTTCCACCCCTGGTAACCAACAAAGAAAGTTCCCTTGCATATATAAACCTTTCCTTGACTTTTTACAATAATGAATTGATACAATATTTGTCCTTCTGTGATTGACTTATTTCACTCAGCATAATGTCCTCCAAGTTCATCCATGTTACGCAGTGTTTTGTAGATTCTACATTATTCTTTAGTCTTGCATAATATTCCATTGTGTATATGGACCATAGTTCTGGCAATTATTTTTAAAACCTGTTTTAATCTGAACTCTTCTGTCTTCCAAGATTTAAAGGTTGTCAGTTGATTATGACTGAGGTTTTATGAGGGTAAAAATGCACGTCTATATCAATTCTCTTTGGGTTTCTAAGCTCCTCCTCCGTCAGCCCCACATTATGTGTGTCCCTGGCTTTCCATGAGACCTCAATTCGGATCCTGTTAGATGGGTGAAACACTCTGGTAGAGGAGGAATTCTGCCACCGGGTAGCTAATATCCTAGTTGTCCAAAATGAAAAATGATTAAAAGGTAGTAGTAGCATTATATATGGAAGACACTAAAAATCTAGATGCCTTAATAGCATAAAAGGAGCTCTGGTGGCTCAGTGCCTAAGGCAATAGCTGACCAGAAGGTTGACAGTTCAAACCCACCAGCCACTCCATGGAAGGAAGACAGGGCAATCTACTTCTGTAAAGATTTACCACCTTGGAAACCCAGTGGGGGTCACTATGTATGAGTCAGAATTGACTTGATGGCAGTGGGTTGTATATGTTTTATATATATATGTGTGTGTGTGTGTGTGGTGGTGGTGGTTGTGTGCCATTGAGTCAGCCCTGACTCGTAGCGACTCCTCCTTGGGTTTCCGAGGCGGTATCACTACAGAAGTAGATTGCCCAACCTTCCTTCTGAGGAGTGGCTGGTGGGTTTGAACCGCCAGCCTTCTGGTTAGGAGTGAAGTGCCTTGGGCACTGCGCCACTAGAGCTCCTAATACTGGGGCTTGTTGTTGTTGTTATGTGCTGCTGAGTCGGACCTGACTCATAGCGAGCCCTCCTTGGGTTTCCGAGGCAGTATCACTATGGAAGGAGATTGCCCAATCTTCCTTCCAAGGAGTGGCTGGTGGGTTTGAACCTCCAGCCTTCCGGTTAGCAGTCAGGTGCCTTAGGCACTGCGCCACCAGAGCAGGGGGACAAAGTCTGGAAGGAAGGAGATAGGACTGGCCATCAGCTGAGTTGACACCTCAAAGTTCCACCTGTTGTTTCTGCACCGTCCACACACTGCATGTCATCATTATATGATTCACTCAGTTCCCAACCTTCCGCTCGATCAGAAAAGTGTTCTGATCAAAGAGAACAGTTTTTCCCGCACTCGAGACAGTCCCCTGGGCTTGCCTGGGCCCCACCGGTTAGTTAGGTCACCACTTCCCCCCATTTTGCTCTGAGGCCTTTAAAAACTGGTCATCTTAGCACGTCCCCAGTTTGGTGGGTCCTGTCAGGCCTCTGGTTTAGTGCACACGCAAACAGTTGGGTTGTGTAGTCAGCCTGGCGTTGGATTGCTGACTTTGAACAAGTCTCACTTACTGAACTTCTTTTCGTGTATCAAATAAGAATGACAACTATTTCTTAGCATTGCTATAAAAATTATTTTTAAATCAACATTAAACCGAATCAAAACCGAACTCACTGCCATTGAGTCAATTCTGACTCACGGTGACCCCCGTAGTTTCAGAAGCTATAAATCTTTATGGAAGTAGGTGGCCCTGTCTTCACTAAACCACTA